CTGCAATCATGACTACTGGTAAAATTACATAGGCCGAAACTACATTAAACATTTTTTCTCAAACAGAAAGTGTTCTCTTTAAATTAGAAAAGCTTTTCTGGTCTCTCAACCTTAAATATCATCAATTTTGTGCCTAAAATTGTATGGAAGAATCTGACAACTTATGGAACGTACAGCTACTCTTCTGGATAAGCACCGCAAACCCATCATAGTGGACCCGGAAGGAAGAAGGGGTAACCCGTTTGATTATGGCTCAGGATTTGTGAACCCAAAAAGAGTCCTTGATCCTGGTCTTGTCTATGATGCGCAGCCAGCAGATTATGTCGCATTTCTTTGTTCAGTTGGTTATGATGAGAAGGCGGTGCATCAAATCACACAAGACAACAGTAGATGTGATCACGCATTCAGAACAGCATCCGACCTGAACTATCCATCTATCACAGTGCCAAATCTTGAAGACAACTTCTCAGTAACTAGAACAGTTACCAATGTTGGGAAGCCAAAGAGTATCTATAAAGCCGTGGTGTCCTCACCCATTGGAATCAATGTTACTATTATCCCAGATCAATTAATCTTCAATAGCTTTGGGGAGAAGATAAACTTCACTGTAAATTTCAAGGTGACCGCTCCATCTAAGGGATATGCATTTGGGTTCTTTTCTTGGATAAGTGGAAGATCAAGGGTTACCAGCCCCCTGGTTGTGCAAGTTGCGCATTCAAATTCGGGGTTGCTGAGATAACCATTGGCCGAAAATTGTAATTAGATTAGGACCTTGAATTTCCTCACAGATACTAGATCTTTACACACTAAGAAGCCAATGCAGAACCAAGTATAGTTTAATATCCTAGGTTACCTACAATTTCTAAGCTCCCGGGCTGAATTATTATGAGATTATTTGTATTCTTTTGGGTGATATGAGATAATTTGTTAAACCACGCAAATCAAAGAAATTTTTATTTGTTATTTCCCCCGTCACTCTGCATTGCGGTTTGAATTCTACGCCGAGCACTGAACCTTGATAGGTTGGTGTGCACATTTGTGTTGTTTTGTGCCTTGATGTCTTTCTTCCTACGGTTTCTTTTTCTTCTTTTTCTTCTGCGGTTTCTTTTTCTTCTTTTTCTTTCTGTATTCGATGGAGCATCTGCATCCATGCTTGTGATTCTGTGAATTAATCCAATCAAAAAATAATATTAAGCTGCAATTCCTGTGGCACTCATGGACATATAACAACGGTGTTGATTTTCATAAATTCAAGAACCGAATGTGATTTTTCAGACTAACAACATTAACTCTGAATAAAAAATGACAGCAGACAGTCAAATGCATATACCAAATACTAGCTGCATCATTCATCTTTTGAATTATCAAAGCATGCCAAAGAAGTTCAATAACATTTGTTCCCCAGTCTTTGACATCGAATATCATAACAATTTACAACTGCGCAACTCAACAACAGAAACCAGTAATGATATAAAGAGCTAAACTATGATAAATGTAACCCCTGGGGGTGCAACTCTGAAGGATCAACTAGGCCTTCTAGCACCACAAGTTGGTCCAAGAGAGCAAGCTTCTCATCCTCAAGGGTCTTAACCTCATCTTCAACCTCTCTTAGATCTCTCCCCAATGCAAAGCTCTCTTCCTCCAGCAGCAAATACTTGAGCCTTAGTGCACGATACCCGCTTCCAGAAGTAGAAGAGTCTGGCAACGAATCTGAGTTTGACCTCTCTGGCTGCTGAAACGATGGAGAAACTTCATTCTTAAAATTTCTTTTGGATACTTTTTGCCCTGGTTTCAATGGAAGTGGAGGAGTCCCATTGGCATCATTCCCTTGTAACTGAAACAATGGGGCTTTCTGGGTTGAGGGCTTCTTTTTCCGTGGCTTAGGATTCGAAAATTCCTCAGCAAGCGACATCTTTTGATCCTGCATTTATCACTAGATGCTGCAATGTACCAATCCACAAGGATGGAGGAGAGACATTAGAAACCAGTGCAAATCATTGGTTCCAAAACACCAAAATAGCTTAATTCTAGTCAATGCATAGTACATAGAACTTGAAATCCCTTTATAAAAGAAATTTAAAGCCAAGGTTTCAACTTTCAGGTTTCATGTCACAAGCTTAAGGTTATAACTCTGAGGAATGCCCAAATTTATATACACATTTATGACAAAAGGGACAAAACCATCAACTATGAAATTATGCCAAAACCCTAGCCCTACCCTAGCCCTATCAACCCAATTCAAGAAATTAATCTTTACGTGCATATTCACATAAAGCTTCAGTCTTTCTTCCCGGGAAAAAGAATTAACAAAAAACTGAAACCCCTAGCCTTCCAATTCCATGGGCTCATCCTATGTAAATTAGAAACTGAACTTCAAATTGGGTTTCGACAGAACAAATTAATCGATCGAAGAATCGAAATCAACGAAAACAAAATAGGATTTGAACAAGGCGGTGGAGAAGGAAGTACCTGAACCCGAAGCTGAAGATGATAAAGTTGGGGCTTTTGGGCACCGTTTAGGGTTTGCAGCGTTTGCGTTTGATTAAATGCTATCTGTGATCTGGGGGCGACTGTTTGACTCGACTTTCGGGGTTCGCCATGATTACGAAAGGCATGGTGCACTTTATTTCGGTAGAGCCTGCCTGGCCCTGGGTAGTTGGTTTGGTTGCCTTTCCCTTCCTTACTTGGATTGGGTTTCCCTCGTTATTTTCCTTTTCTTTTATTTTCTAAAACCTCTTTCTCCAATTATTTAGAACAAGTTTTCCAAACATCAACTGATAAATGTCTGAATAATATTTGACTCTAAAAATAATTCCAAAAAATAAATCCCCTTTCTTTAAATTAAAAAAAAAACACTAAAAATGTACATTAATGGTTTAATAGAAGGCAATGTACTTAAAGACAACAAAATTCCTTTAAAGTTCTAATTTCTCTAGTGTATATTTAAGAGTTACGATATTCTTCATTTGGGTTTTATGCCGTTTTTCTTCTTCCATTTTTGTGTTACTCTAATTAAATATCTAATTATCCGATTGCATGAACAACCCTCTCAGTTGCACCTCACTTCAGCTTCTAACTTAACTTGCTACATAATTTGTATCATAAAATATTATGAATGTTCTTTATATTCTTAAATTTCTTTTTTCTCTAATAAAATTCATCACTACTGTCTACTTCGAGGATCTTACTGTAATCAAAATTGATCGAGTTTCACATATTACATTCTACCATTAAATAAAAAGATTAACAATCTGTAAATTAAAGCGTGTATGAACATAAGTGCTTTAGTTAGTTAAGAGCACATAACTACACATGAAATGGAAAAAAAAGAAAGCGACTTTGCAAACTCCACCGCACATGACATCACGATCTCAACTTCTGGATTTGGAGGTTTCATGCAATAATTGCAAGTCCTAATTCTTCTAAAGAACAATATCAAGTATCTGTGTGATTCTTACTTGCTACGAGTTGCTTTTTGACCACAGGCTTTAGAAAATTGCTTAAAAAGCAAGAAAGAAGAAGTTGATAATTTGCAAAAGAGAGGCAAATAAGAATCTTGCAGACTGTAGTTTACACGGTGTCAAGCACTAGAGTGACAAATATTATGGTTGAGTTGAGTCATGTCAAATGGAATAAAGTTGTTTCTTTTAAACAACTCTGCGTGCAATTATTATGCGCCTCCAATTACAACCTGTAAAACTAATGTGAATACAACATGTTTAAAGATATATACATAGAAGAAGGGGCTTGTTGTATTTAGAGTGGTTAATTAAGAACATTTATCCTTATACTTAAGATTCTTGATTTGATTCAAGACTACATCTCCCTAGTCAGACGTATGAGTCACCGAATAATGCAAATGAATGCAATATGAATTATGAAAGTATTTGATAAATCACCAAGTAAATATCAAAAGCCGTCCGTGTCAAAAGAGAGCCATGCTTCTTTTATTCAAGACTACCTCTCCCTAGTCAGACGAAAGCACCAGAGTCCCCAATCGATTATGACTATTAAATTTAACCCAATAGTCAGACGAAAGCACCAGAGTCCCCAATCGATTATGACTATTAAATTTAACCCAATATGCACTCTAGTGAAAGACGTCAAAATAGGAGACCAAATACTATTCAACTATGAATATTAGTTTTGATTCACTCTGGATTCTTAGTGAAGATATTTTGATTCACTCAAAATAGGAGACCAAATACTATTCAACTATGAATATTAGTTTTGATTCCCTCTGGATTCTTAGTGAAGATGCGAACCAGCCAATCTTTAATAGAAAAACAATATAAACTCAAACGAGAAATTAATATTTACTAATATGCATGCAATGCATTGTAATAGATAATTAGATTTATGGTATGGAGATTGAAGCCAACATCGGCGCAGTACGTGGTAGACTGAGAAAAAAAGAAAACTACTCATGTCATGAGAACTATTAATTAGATGAAGTTTCGTTTGAATTAATGCATAGTAAAATCATGATTACCGTGCTATTAGAAAAAGCTTATGTGCTCAGTTGTTTTTTTTTCATCCTTTTTCATTGATTTGCTTGGTCAATAATGATTAGAAAATGCTAACAGAGATATGACATAGATTATACAAAATCCATTTCTTCGTCATCTTCAACTCATTTGTTAAATATCTCACACCTCAGTTTTGGAGCGTGACAGAATTGCTCTACACTAGATTATCAACTGTTTGGTAGGTGAGTACCCTTTTTGAAAGTACAAATTTAGGGTTACATACATCGCTGTATGGGATTTACCTACTGCTGAGATGAAGACGGAAAGAAAATTAAACACTACTAAAATACAAAAATACATGCATGCATAGTATATAAAAATCAAAATATGAGGTGGCTCAGATAATGAAAGGGTATTACCATGTGATCTAATCTAAAGGTGGTTGACCATAATTTTCTTGGACCACAGGAGACCAGGAGAAGGGGACTAATATGCATAGTTTATAAAAATGAAAATATGAGGTGGCTCAGATAATGAATTTGGGGCAATCAGGAATCCTGGAATCTAATATTTTTTCTTTGTTTCTAGAATTATGAAAGTTGATCATCAATAATGTAAATTAATGGGAAAGTTCCAGGTTATAACACCGAAAGCTGCAACCAAACACTTCAAACTTCTCTTCTCCCTCGCAGTCGCAGAGATAAAAACAAACACCATAAAAATAAACAAATGACAGACACAGAGAGCTAAGCTGGCCATTCACGAGCTCTCCCTCGATCGTCTCATCATTTTTTGAACTGTGCAACGGCGTCGTCTAGCTCCAGAAGAAGCAGCTGCAGCAGCTACCACATGAAGCTGAAGCAGCTGGCTATAATCACTTCCGGCATGGTGCTTCTGCTGCTTCTGCTTTTCCCCGCAGCAGCTTTCTCCGACGCTCAGAACCTCGAACCATTTCAGTAC